GCTCATTGCCTCCAAGATCTTTCTCTAGGATATAATCTGAAAAATATTTATTTGTAGGGGGTGAGCACTAAGCTCTGTAGGAAAATTCTCCTAAACTCGAACAAGGTTTAAAAAAAACATATGAAAACGGTCGGTCACCTTTCACATATAGCATATATGAATTTTGAAGTAAAACATGGACATTTAAACAGATCTCAAGTTTAGGTACAACAATCATTTAACGAATAAGTGAAACCCATATACAATTAATAATCCATTCCATCATCAATCATTTCTTCCAAGTTCTTGCGGAGTCCCATACCTTCCAAGATTCTTGTAGAAACCATTTTTGGTACAATGAACAATAATCCATCACTATACTATACGTCTAATAATCTATTCTACCATAAACCGTTTCTCCCAAGTTCTCGCGGAATCCCATACTTTCCAAGTTTCTTGTAGAAATCATTTCTAGTACAATGAATAATAACCCAACACAGTATTCGTATCTCAGGTATGAAGGAAGACCTCACATGGTCACCATCGAAAATATCATGACCCACGTACAAACCACACAAACCCCTTTTTTCACGTTACCCCATGAGAGATAATGGTTATGTCCTCGCAAGGCAGTAACCCCATTACGAGTGGTAGGAATGGTTAAAACCCACACTGAGTAAGACATCGACTACCCACTCCATGATACCGGTCAATAATAGCCCATGTTTATCTCCACAACCACACAATAGATACAATACCCACAATTTTCTCAAATACAAACCATTCCATAAATTTCCAAATTTCACATCCAAATCCACATTTATTATTTCCATAGAACATTTAAGGAAAAATGCAAGAGATCATCACAACATCATTTCATTACTCAACACAAAGCACTAAAGTTTCAAAATTAATAATAATAAAGGAAGAATTTAAGAAGAAGATCCATCACTCGTGTAACCTATGGTTTTAACTCAAGAAAGAGGGGTTTCATGGGTATTACCCTAAATTTGCTCAAACATGACAATAATTGCAAGCAAATCAAGAAACAAGGAACCCATAGCAAATTTGAAATCAAGAACAAATGAATATCAAGTCTTGAAATCAAGGACAAGTGAATATCAAGTTTTGGTCTCAAGAACAAATGAATAATCAAGGTTGGAAATCAATAACAAAGGAATATCAATTTAGATTTGATGAACAAATGGATAATCAAGGTTTGAAATCAATAGCGAAGGAACATCAATTTAGATATAAAGAACAAATGAACATTAAGAGGAAAAATCCATGTTTCCCAAAAACTAGGGTTTTTATGGCTATCAAGCCATAAATACCTTCAAGACATGGTGATATATGTAAGAACTTCAAGGAACAATTATTTCATAGCATATATCTAGGATTTAGAAGCAAAACATACATATATATAAATCATAACCTCAATGAACAAGAATGGAAGAAAACCCCTACCTTGTGCTCTTGAAGAAATCTAGGGCTTAGATCTTGAATCTACTTGTAAATCCTTTGTTTTTCCCTTTTGATCTTGAGTTTTCTCTTTTTCTCTTTCTCTCTAAGTGTTTATAGGGTTTGAAGTGTTGAAATGGGGCTTAAAGAGGCGTGCTAATATATTTATAGGGTGAGAAATGAAGACAAAACCCGAAATCGGGTCGAAAAGGGTCTTACAGAGCGTACCGGTACACTGTACCGGTACTATAAGGCTTCTGGAGTTTGAAGTACCGGTACACTTTGTTTGCTGCAACTTCCAAGGCAGTTTTGACTCATTTAGAGGTCGAATTGGAACATCTTCATGAGACACATTTTTGTAGCCCTTGAAGTCTAGTTTCTACTGTAAAAATTTCAGCTCAAATGGATATAATAATAAAAATTTATAGCTAAAATACTAAGATAGTGTCAAACTCCTTTCTACCTAAATCCTCTCCAAAATAGGTTTTAACTTTAAATGACTTCCTAACTCCTAATACACTCCATATTACTTCTCCCAAGGTCTCTCGGCCTTCCAGATTCAATGGAGACATTAGTTTGATCAAAATTCATTTAGAAACGTACATAATCACCCTTCTCAAGCGTACACACATTCGAAACTTAAACTTCACAATCAAGTTGTCTCCAAAGTATTTATTTCTAATGTTATAATCTATATGGCTAATTCGTACTTCATTACATATATTAGCATTACTAAATAATTATATCACTATATTAATATAATATGTGGGTGTTTACACAAGGACTTCTGTAGATGTTAAATCTTCCCTCATTGCAATGTCTTCAACTGATGTTAACTCATCCTTGCTTGCAATGGCTTCATTGGATGCTAACTCATCTTTGATTTTCTGATGGAAGTCCATGTTCTGATATTCATTATTTTCAAACTCATGCAATATGTCATCTGTTATATCACTATTTAAATCTACAAGAACCTGTTTTCCTTTTTCCATTTGTGTCGATTATACCTAAGAACAAATAATTAACAATCTCATCTTTAAGAAATGACTACTATTTCTATCTATCAAAATAAGAAGAAAAGAGTTGTGGACATAACACAACTAATAACAAACATCTACGGAGAAAAGATCGTTAAATACTTACCTTGTTTGATATGAATCTTCCAATACCTTGCATTCTACTGAATTGCATGGATGATCAAGAATAGATTGTTAAATATGTTGGATTGAAGTTAGATGGGTGATGAAATAATGGAGATTTTAAGAGTGATGAAGAAACATAGGCTATAATTGGTGCTTGACTTCATTTTGTTATTGTTTCAAGAAAATCATAGTAGTTGGAACAATAGTTTTACATTTACTTCATAATTAAATGCAATTTACTACACAAAAATTATATTACCTACTTAAAAACATATATATTTTTCACAACTATTATGTCAAAATTATAACATCTTGGGCGGATTGCAATTGTTGGGTGATGTTCAAAGATGTGTAGTATGTTATAATCATTGTATTCTTATGTTCATAACAAGTTAATTTTAAAATAATAGAATACATAACTTTTTAATTTATTATGGATTTTTTTATACAAAATGGACTTTAATAAGGTTAAAAGTTAGATGAATTAAAATTTAGTATTCTATTTAATATAATTAAATTTTAGTTGGATATAATATAATCTAAAATTAGTCTTGATTTGATATTAAATTAATTATAAATTTAGTTTTAATTTCAATAAATATTATTTCAATATTTCAAAATTAAATCGCATAAATGTATACTTATAGTCCATTAATTTAAATAGTAATTTAGTGAATGTGTTGAAGTTGAATGTCCATTAATTGGATGATGTATGTTTTGGGGGTGGGAAATCACATTCGACTTCCTTTGTGTTTTACTATATTCAACTTCCTAGTTTTTGACTTCACAGAATTGAAAAACTGAAGATCATTCAAGATTCTCTCCATTATCGTTCTTTAGAAGTTTAGCACATATTGGGGGTAAGATTATAACTGTTTTGGTTAATATTACAATTATTAAGGTAACAAAGTCACTAATTTTTTGTTAATATTACAACTTGGGGTCCGTTTACCACTTATTTGGTAAATATTGTTACCTTTAAAATGGTAAGAACACATAATTGAATGTTAATTTGATTACAAAACATATTGTTTTTACATCTCATAATTGAATGGTAATTTGATTAAATTAAATCTCATTTTGTATACTTTAATAGTCGTACGAAATATAAGTGTTGATAGATTCAATGTGTTTTATTATATTCATGAGATCGAATATTAATTTATTCTTATTTTTTATTTTTTTGGGAAAATTTACCACTTCTAGTGAGTAAGGTTACCACTTTTAGGGCAAGTGTACCACGTTTTGGTTTATATTTATTTGCAATTTTATGGGGGATAACTTTACTACTTTTGTGTAAAATTATAATTTTTTTTTAAAATATTACCACTATTTTGGAAAAGGATATCACAAATTGGGGTTAGGTTTAGTATATTTTGTGGGTAAGATTACCATTTTTTTGGTTAATATTACAATTATGCACCAATTTTTAGATAATATTAATTTACCAATTGATTATTTTTGGTTAGGTATGATTTAAATTTATTTATTTTTATTTGTTTTATGCTAGGATTTATAGATATTTTTTTGGTTAAATATGTTAGTAATTTATTTATTTTACTGTAACACCTTTTTAATTAAACGATTTTTTTTCTGATAAAAAAATGATTTATTCAAAAATTTTCAAATAATTGTTTCAAATTTTTATTTTTTTGGGAGGCTTCCCCAACACACTATACACGCCCTCTCAAGAAACCAACTCTTCACTTCACTTCTCTCTCTTCTCAGACCCTTCCCCTCCCTTGCCCAACTCCTTGCCTGAAACTCTCTCTGTCTCTCTCTCTCTCTCTCTCCATCTCTCTCCTGTCCTTCTCTTTCTCTGTCTCTCCTCTGCTTCCTTTTTTTTTTTGATCTTGTTTCTGAGGTATTTTTTTACAGTGTCTTTTTAATTTATGTTGTTTAATCTTTCGATTCGTTGTTTTTCATTGTTTAATCATATCCTGATCTGGGTTATTCTCACTGCTTATGCCATAGATTTGATATAGTATGCGTTTTTGGATTATTTTTCATATTTTGCTTTTCGGTTATTAATTATGTTTCTTTTAAAACTAATGTTTGTTTATTATTTCTTCATTTTGATTCTTATAATCATATTAATTGGGTTAGATATATTTTTTTACTGTAGACAGTTTCTTGAGCTTGATCATCTCGTAGTTGAATACATTCTGTTCGAGCAAATTATTGTTAATCTTTTATGTTAATTGTCTAAATAGTTTCAATACTTCATGTTACTGAGAAATCGTTGTTTGATCCAATGTATGCATTGTTCAAATTTCTTAGCTTCGTCTTCTGAATATTTAGATCCTTGTTCATGTTACTGAGAAATCGTTGTTTGATCCAATGTAAGTTTGAATGTTATAGTTTAGTTTAAGTTTAGCATTCAATTTTTCGCATTATTCAATCTGTTCGGCAATCAAGATGGCTAATGACAAGATAACGAAGGCATGCCTAATAAAGATTTTTTATGATCTTGGTTTTTTTCGAGAATTTGATTTCGAAACTCTGTACTCTTACGAGTACGAAAAGGAGAAGACTGAAAGGCTGGCTGATGATATTCTTGAGTGGGAGTCAGAGAACTCTTATGACTTCGAAAAGGCAAAAACTGAGAAGCTGTATGATGATATACTTGACTTACTGCCCTCTGATCCTTTTGATATGAATATAAGTCCTCCGATTATGGAAATCACTGGTTGGAATGAGGATCTTGATGAGGATTTTGGACTAAAAATTCTTGGGTTTGGTACTGATGAATTGGAAGTCAAGAAAGAAGATGATGAACTGCTTGCAAAATCGAATTTTGATTCAAACAACGCCATGAGTTCTTATCAGGAGCTTGATGACAAGAAAACAGATGAAAAATCAATTGGGTCTGTATTGATTGAAGAATTTTTGAAAGATAAATATTGGGAATCACAGGTTGCTATGCGGGGTTCATAATTTATTTATTAAATAATTATCATTTTATAAATGGTGGAATGTGTAATTAGTGTTTTATAGATTGTTTGTACAAGTTGATGTATTTTTTTGGGTCTTGTTTTTACGAGAAATTTTGTCTAAACTTTTTAAAATAATAAAGTAAAATTAATTTGATTAGATATTGATGATTTTTAATTTATCATAACATGGACATTTTTTTAATGACACAAGTTTACAAATTCCTGTAAGTTAACTTTTGAATAAATTTTTATGGGTGCAATTGTTAGTTCTAATTAAATAAGTAGTTTCAAGAATATGAATTTTATACATTTTAAATTTAAAGTATTGGGCTTTGATTATTAAAGTTAGGTTTCTCCACCTCTTTGTGGAAACAAATTTGTTTCCACAAGAATTTTCATATAGGTAATATTTTGTTGAGTATGCATGCGAAGTGCGGGTGTGTTAAGGATATAGTTTAAGCTTTTAGCTTAGTTCATCCCCATGTTTAGTCTTTAATTTTTTTGAATTTATGATCAATGTTTGATTTCATTGAATTATATAGTGACTTCAGGCACGCTAGTTAGGTTTATATATGGTATTGAAGGCATAGAAAGAACCAATACAAATTAAGAAGGCATATTGCCATTTGTACACTATTGAAAATATTTGTATTACGTGATTAGTGCACGATTTTGTGTTGTACAATATTTTCAGGGATGGATTTTGTCCACTTTTTCAAAAAAAATTGTTGTCACGATTTCATATATTGACTTAAATCTTTGGGATGTTCAATTGTTATATTGTATGTGCCTGAATGCATGAGTTATTACTATTGTGTATACATGCAGGAAATTTCTAGATTTCTATTGAGAGAAAAATATCCATTTTTTTTAACCATTAAAAGTGGTACTCTTAAACAAGCAAGTTGTTGATGTTAACAAAAAAAAAAATGGTACTCTTAACCAAAGAAGTTATAATCTTAACCAAATAAATGGTGTTGTTAAACAAAAAAGTGGTACTCTTACCAAAAAATGGTAATTTTAACCAAAAAAATGGTACATTTAACAAAATAAATGGTAATGTACACATGGTTTCACTTCAAGGTTGCTCTTTATGGTATGTGTGTATATTATGAATATTGTAAATTTTTGTTATGATTTGTTGGTAATTAATTTTTTCATTCATATTATTATTATTTTTTTTTGGTTTTTGGCAGCATTAGACATATAGAGGAGCTAATATTGCAGTTTTACGCAGGCAGGTATATTGCAACTTGGCAACTAATCTTGATCTATCAATATAACATTTTCAATACTCAGTATAAACAATATTTTGCATTTTGAATTATTACATTTAACATTTTTTAATTAACGCGTACAAAATACCCACAGACACAAACACTCATACACATTGACTCGAAACATTTTCATCAAATAGCATCATTTAAATGTACTTACACTAACTCATTAATGTAGCACTCACACAGTCCACACAACTCCATCAAGTTTTTTAAAGTAGTCTCCCCTATCTTAAAGTTTCATATTTATATTTATTAGTTTTTGGCCTGCATCATTGAGTTGTCACCGTAAATGTCACAACACGCAAGTAGGAACTTCAACAAAGCAAGTCGCCTTTTCTTATTTCTAACACACACAAAATAAGTCTCATTGGCTACATGGAGAAAAGCTCGAGGTTTTTCCTCAATCACTGTATAGTATATCCATAGTATTTTACCTACTGTGTGAATGGGGGAGCTGGTCTTATTTGAGTTTATAATAAGTGATCTACTAATGAAGAAAATTAAGAGAACATGTACAAAAATAGATCTGACAAGAATAGAGGAACCCCAAAACTTCTTCATATCTCATAGCCAATGATATGAGATTCATGAGAAGCTTATGTGCTTTCTTGTCAGTGCATGCATGGCAGGAAGTGAAATTTTTTATGACATACCTTCATTTCCACATATGTTAGTCTTTCATTCCACCATTTCCTTTTGGAAGCAAGAACGAGTGTCCTGAAGTTCAAACTTCGCTATATGTTGAACCCTGATGACCAGAAATTCATTGAGCGACAGAGAAGAAAGACAGCCAAAACATTTGCTGATAGTGAAGGGGATATTATGCTTATTGGTGTGAACCTGCGATGGTCCCCGGCTCCATGAAGATAAAGTTTTGATGCTGAGCGTTGTGAGCTAGTGATGTTGAATGCTGAGCCTGTCTCATAAATGATGGCTCAGTATTGTAAGTAACTGCACAGATTAATCCACAGGAGATCGAATTCAGATTGAGGTCAAGTCAGTGAAGGAGGGTAAAAAATAATCTTAACTAATACATACTCTGTTGTAGCTGGCAGGTCTTCTAACAGTTTGAAATTCAGATAGTTGAGTCTTTGGTAGTTTGTTATTACATGATGCGTACATTGTATATGTTCTCACGGATTTATTCTGCTTTTTTGGGAATAAAATCATACTTGCTAAGAATACGTCATGATTCCAAGGCAGTGTACATTACATGATGTGTACATATGTCGCGACTCTAAAAGGAGTTGTGATTAGAACGATTCTTCCTTATTAAAAGCAATCTGAACAATTTATTTATTTTTGATAAGAAACAATACTTTCATTTCATTGAAAGAAGCATAATAAGTGTAAATAAATAGTGGATAAGGAATCCACCTTAAAGAGAAAAATAAGACAAATAAAACCAAACAAAATTAAGGAATACAAACAGCTTTCGAGTTGTGTTGGAGAGCTGATGGAGACATATAAAACAATCTAAACAATGACATTAGCCAATAGAAATAGTCTGAAATTTTTTGCAGTTGGTTTGGTGTGTCAGTAAGATCATGAGACTAATGGAAGTGAAAGTTCAAGTAACTTAAAATTCTAGCAAAAATAATGCAAAGTGAGGGAAGTAAAATGGAACAAGCTAAATGTAACAGAAAAACTCCAAATGTCTAAATGGGGATTGCAGCTTCACTGGTAAGCTTGTATTGGGGAGGGAAAATCTTGCATAAGATTCTAAAATTCATAGTGGGATCCATGTGCAGGCCTAGATACAAAGCTGCATCTTCATTGACAGCGCCATTGTACCCATCTGAATTTCTTTTCACATGGTCAATGTGGTAAAATGCTTTAATTTTCATAGAAACTAAAAGATATCAAAATTCCTGTGTTTTAGAAAGTTTTTGAGATGTTTCGGTATATTTTGACAAATATTTTTAAAATATATTGTAGTCTATTTCAGGGCCGGCTCATCAGCTTCAAAAAATAAGCATGCACTTTAGGCCCCAAATTTTGAAAAGGCTCTAAATTTTTAGGTACATTATTAACCCATAAAAAAAATTAAATCCTTTAAATTTTAAACCCTAAAAAAAAGGCCCCAAAATATTTAGTACAATCATCATTTTTATTGTAATAATTTGGGTTAATGATTCAATTCATAACATTAAAAATCTAAAAAACATAAGTTGAAAAAATAAAAAGTACTGAAAAGTCAATTCATATTTACTCATACTCTCTCTCTCTCTCTCTCTTTATATATATATATATATATATATATATATATATATATATATATATATATATATATATATATATATATATATATATATATATATATATATATATATAATATATATATATATATATATATATATATATATATATATATATATATATATATATATATATATATATATATATATATATAAATCAGTACAAAACATTAAAAAAAGTTAAAATTAAACTCTCTTTCTGATAAAAAATAAAAACAAAAGTTAAAATATTTTTTTCAGTAACATTAACATGTCCTTCTTCAGTCTTTCTTTCATATAATAAATTGAAAATAAATTATTTTTTTTAAAAAAATTAATATTAAAAATAAAAAAAATTTCATTTAATGTTTTCGCTTTAGGCCTCTAATTACCTTAAGCCACCCCCTGGTCTATTTTTATTCTATTTCCAAAATATTTTTGAAATATTCAGGTTTCTTGGATATTTCAAAAAAAAATAAAATTGGGTAACCGAAACAGCGCAATAAAACGAAATTTTATCTTTGACCCAGTAGATATTTCTCAAACATTCTCAAAAACTTTTGTTACAAGCAAGTTGTTCATGGCGTGTCAAAATTTACTGAGCTCATACACTACCCATTTGTAAGGTTCGTATCATATTGTCTTTAATTCGTGTGTTTAGTGACTTTGTGTGGTATTTAGCAGACTTATTCATTTGATAGTTCTCAAACAAGTTTTCCCTTTTTGTTGGAGTAATTGAGCTATTGCTTGTCAGTTAAGTTTGATTAGAGTTGACCTCTCCAAGTTCTGTTAATAATCCTATTGAATAGAAACTTCTTGTTAGATTTGACCTATTTATTAGCTACTGTTACCACGTTTCTAGGTGTGTTTGTTTGATTTCTTTTCTCATCATGTAAGGCTATATAAGCCACTGAGTTTGCTTTAAGTTTCATGAGAGTGTTGTTCATCAATTACTGAGAATTATTTGCTTAAGGGTTTTTGGGTTCTACAATTCTGGTATCAGAGCCCCAACAAGGGGCCTGAGTGAGTGAGGTTAGGAACTGCAGCTTCCTAACAAGAGAAAAGTGAGAGGGGAAACACAGGAAGTGAGAAAAGAGTGAACGAGAGAATGGCAACAGAAGGAAGTTTTATCCAACCTGCAATACTAAAGTTTGACGGTCATTATGATCATTGGGCCATGCTCATGGAGAATTTTTTACGGTCAAAAGAATACTGGAGCTTGGTGGAGAATGGGATCCTTGCAGTTGCAGACATAGTGGAGCCAACAAAAGTCCAAAGAAAGACCATTGAGGAGTAACGTCTAAAAGATTTAAAGGTAAAAAATTATCTCTTTCAGGCTATTGACAGAACTATTATGGAAACAATCCTCAACAAGGAAACAACAAAAAGTATCTGGGATTCAATGAGGCAAAAGTACTAGAGAACAACAAGAGTGAAGCGTGCTCAGTTGAAAGCACTACGAAGGGAATTCGAAGTTCTCCAAATAGGGAAGGAGAGAAAGTGGACGAGTACTTTGCTCGAACTCTTTCAATTGTAAACAAGATGAAGATTCATGGAGAAAAGATGTACGAAGTGGTGATTGTTGAGAAAATCTTAAGGTCGATGACCAAAAGATTTGATTATGTGGTTTGGTCAGTCGAAGAATCCAACAATCTGGAGATCTTGACGATTGATGAGCTGCAAAGCAACTTGCTTGTGCATGAACAGAGAATGAACGGTTATGTTCAAGAAGAACAAGCCTTGAAGATTACTCATGATGAAGGACTTGGGGGGGTAGAAGAAGGGGTTGAGGATTAGTTCAAGGACGTGGCAGAGGTAGAGGCAGAGGCAGAGGCAGAGGCAGGGGTAGGGGTAGAGGCAATCCCTTGAACAAAGCTATCATTGAGTGCTTCAAATGCCACAAACTAGTGCACTTCCAATATGAATGCCCTAATTGGGATAAAGGTGCCAACTATGCTGAAATTGATGAAGAGGAGGAGATGCTCCTAATGTCTTATGTGGAATCAGACAACTCAAAACGAGAAGTAGTGTGGTTTATTGATCCGGGGTGTAGTAATCATATGTGCGGGAACAAGTAGTGGTTCTCCAATCTTGATGAGGGGTTCAGACATTCAGTAAAGCTCGAAAACAACTCAAGAATGGCGGTAATGGAAAAAGGCAATATCCGATTGAAAATCAGTGACATAATTCAGGTAGTTACAGATGTTTTCTATATACCAGATTTAAAGAACAATTTGTTGAGTCTTGGGCAGCTGCAAGAGAAGGAATTGACCATACTGATTCCCTGTGGAGAATGTAAACTATATCATCCTAAGAAGGGGCTAATCATGCAAACAAGGATGACTACAAACAGAATGTTTGTACTATTTGCTAGTGTTGTGGTACCAGAAAAGTCATCTTGCCTGCAAACAATTACTGAAGAAGACTCACAGTTGTGGCACCAGAGATTTGAGCATTTGAACTATAAAGGCTTAAGGACGTTGCAGTATAAAGGGATGGTGAAAGGATTGCCTTTTGTCAAGAGCACAAACATGGCTTGCACTGGATGTCTAGTGGGAAAGCAACACAGAAAGATGACTCCAAAAAGAAATCAATGACGAGCTTCAACAAGATTGTAACTTGTGCATGTTGATATCTGTGGCCCCATCAACTTATCTCCAATAGTCACAAAAGGTATCTCATAAGTTTTATCGATGATTTTATTAGAAAATTTTGGTTATACTTTCTAGCTGCAAAGTCTGAGGCCTTTATTGTTTTTAAAAATTACAAGAGCTTGGTCGAGAAAGAAATTGGTGCATCTATCTATTGTTTGCGGATTGATAGGGGAGGGGAATTTATCTCCGATGAGTTTAATGATTTCTGTAAATTAAATGGCATAAGTAGACAACTTACAACAGTGTATACTCCCCAACAAAATGGAGTAGCTGAAAACAAGAACCAAACTATAATGAATATAGTTCGGAGTATGCTTGGTGAGAAGCAAGTGCCGAAGACTTTTTGGCCAGAGGCTGCAAAATGGATGACTCATGTTCTTCATAGAAGGCCGACGTTGGCAGTAAAGGATAAGACACACGAGGAGATGTGGACTGGAATCAAACCGAGTGTGGACTACTTTCGAGTTTTTGGCTGCTTGGCTCATGTGCATGTACCGGATCAGAAAAGAGTGAAGCTAGATGACAAGAGCTTCAAATGTGTATCGCTTGGGATAAATGATGAGTCTAAAGCCTATAGGTTGTTTGATCCAGTTACCAGAAAAATCGTAGTAAGTAGAGATGTGGTTTTTGTGACACCCCAAAATCTGGGTGTCTATAATTATCCGATTGATCATCCATCGATCCGCGAAATACTGGTGGATATTGTGTAATTCGATACTACACCGTTATGCCCCATTTCTCGGGATCCATAATTTAACAAAATTTGGGCAAAGTCTCCTTTGTACGAGGAGCTCTACCCAAAAACGCAACCTATACAACATTGACCACACCGGGTCTATCCATCCATTCACAATTGTATAGTCTCGAATACTACCATAATTATCATCAGTACATAAATTTATTCGTAAAAGAATAAATATCCTAAAAGAGTCCCATATACATGCCTTTGTAAATATAAACAAATGTTTGTCAC